TAGGGTCTGACCTGCTCTGTTTGGAAAGCGCTGTGAGACGACTGTTGATGTGGCGCTATGTAAATAAAATGAATTGACTTGAATTGTCTCCATTCACTTTCATTCCCAGCCCTGAAACTAAAGGAGCCCTTAGCCTCAATCAGGAGGACTGATGCACACTAAAACTAAACTTTCTATTATTCTATTGAATTTGTCATGAAGTGAACACTAAACTTAAATCACAGAGCTGAGAAGGAGGTCTTCTAACAAACTCTGTGATGAAAACACGGTCTGAGGCTACAAATGAGGCTTTCTGACTGAAACCGGAAGCTATCATTAGGATCTCAGCGGTGGAAAAACGGCAGGAGCAACATGGGCCGAAAGGCCAGCGAGGGGCTCGGATTCCACAGCTGGTTGCGTTCTTCTGCAGGCTGCTCTCTGACTGTCTTTATCTGTTTCTAAATCAAACATTTTTTCCTGTTAAATTCCAGATCCTTTCAGTAAACTGCTGGTTTTTCCTTAAATGCGTGTTTCCCTGCTTTGATTTCTATCTACCGCTTCTCAGGATATGTCAGTGAGAAGCCTTTAAAAGGAGACTGAACCTGGAAAGTGGACTCCACATCTCCTATTGTCTGTAAAAATTCAAAGCAAACCCTCCCACATGTCCCAACCTGTCCACATTAGCTAAAACAAGCCTCCCACTCATGTCCCAACCTGTCCACATTAGCTAAAAAAGTCTCCCACATGTGCTAACCTGTCCACATTAGCTAAAAAAAGTCTCCCACATGTCCCAACCTGTCCACATTAGCTAGAAAAAGTCTCCCACATGTCCCAACCTGTCCACATTAGCTGGAAAAAGTCTCCCACATGTCCCAACCTGTCCACATTAGCTAAAAAAGAAGCCTCCCACATGTCCCAACCTGTCCACATTATCTAAAAGAAGTCTCCCACTAATGTCCTAACCTGTCCACATTAGCTAAATGAAGTCTCCCACATGTCCTAACCTGTCCACATTGGCTAAAAGAAATCTCCCACTCATGTCCCAACCTGTCCACATTAGCTAAAAGAAGTCTCCCCCATGTCCCAACCTGTCCATATTAGCTAAAAGAAGTCTTAACCTGTCCACATTAGCTTAAAGAAGCCTCCTACATGTCCTAACCTGTCCATATTAGCTAAAAGAAGTCACCCACTAATGTCCTAACCTGTCCACATTAGCTAAAAGAAGCCTCCCACATGTCC